GAAAGACCAAAACCTAAAAAAGGATGTTTTGCTTCTAAAGGGACAATATTTTCAGTTATACTCCAAAAACATTTCTGTAAAATTTTTATTGGGACAGTTTCCTCATCTGTCGGAAACTAGTTAAGGCTGTTGAATGAAATAATCAGTTTTAGCCAAATGCCCTTGCTAGTTCCACTTAATTTCTCCCTAAAATTTGAAAGAAGTGTCTGATTTTCTTGAATTTCTATAAAATTTAGAGTATCAATAACATGTCCATATATTTCATTTCTTACTAATTCCACTCTTTTCCACTTTATTTTGCAATTCAAAATATGATCGCCGTGTCATTTTTCCCCTGAGAATATGCTACTTTCTGTTTATTACAATAACAATATAATGCGGCATTAAACACAGTTAAACAAAGTGTTTCTACATGCAGATTAAAATATTACCCCAGTTCAGGTGAATGAATTTAAACCCTAAGTCTAGAACTTAATCCCGTTGGTAATAACACAGTGTATAAGAATGCAAATGATTGAGTCATCATAACATAGCAATATGAACAAGAACAAAACACAGAGTGAACAGTATCGCACCCTTGAATAGAATAGACAGTGTTCGGAATGAAAAGTCCCAAATGGCCACTTTAATATTTACCCAGAATGCCCTAAATCTAATCAGTTGCAGACTTTCATACCAAGAAAAATCCCAAAATGGTTTGGCTGGAAATCTGTAGACAAGCCTCGACAGACAAGATTTTAAGATGGAAAATCCAAAATCGCCGCCTTAACATTTACCCAGAATGGCCAAAAACTAATCAGTTCTAAATTTTCATATGTAGAGACATCCCAGAAAATTTCAAATGAATCCATGAAACAGTTTGACTGAAAACCTGTAGACAAGCCTCAACAGACAAAATTTTAGTATGGAAAATTCAAAATGGGCATCTTTACACCCGGTCTTTACACTTACCCAGAATGCACAAAAACTAATCAGTTCTAAACTTTAATATGTAGAAACATCCCTCAAATTTCAGATGAATCCATGAAATCTGAAATCTTATCATCTTCATTCAGTCCAGCTGACATGACAGACTGATGGACTGACTGACCAGTGTTCACCATATCCCTACCAAATTTACATGACTAAATGTCACTTGCAGGTTGCAAACTTTTCAAACTTTAAGTCCCTAATTTTGTTACCATGGTAACTAGTATTGTCTAATATATGAAGATATTACAAGACATTAACATGACAAAATGTCACCACCTAGTTGCTCACAATATTATGAGTTCAATCTTAAGTCAGATTTGAATTTCTGAGAACTTGTAGATGATTTTGAAAAAATAAATTGGTCAATTTGAAGCAAGTAGAAAAAGACCTTTTTGACCCTGAGAAGGTCATTGAAGGTGAAATCTCAAATCTAATGTCAGATTTGAACTTCTGAGAACTTGTAGATGTTTTTGAAAAAAATTGGTCAATTTGAAGAAAGATAAAAAAGACCTTTTTGACCTTGAAAATGTCATTAAAGGTCAAATCTATAGTCAGATTTTAACAGTTGAGAACTTGAAGATGATTTTTAAAAAAAATTGGCAATTTTGAACCAAATTGAAAAAATACCTTTTTGACCTTTTTTGACCTTAAGAAGGTCATCGCAGGTCAAATCTCAAATCAAAAGTCAGATATGAACTTCTGATAACTTGTAGATGGTTTTGAAAAAAAAAAAAAATTGGTTAATTTGAAGCAAGTTGAAAGAAGACCGTTTTTACCTTTTTTGACCTTGAAAAAGTCATTGAAAAAGTCATTGAAAACGTGCAGCTTCTGAAAAACATGCAGCTGATTTAAAAAAAACTGAAGTCCATCTAAACAGTATTTGTTAAGTTATTAGAAGTTGTGAGAATTTGTTACAGATGCCGATCGCCAACGGCCGACCACCATCAAAAAATGGAGACCATAACAATATGTCACCACCTTTTGGTGGTGACATTAAAATTACAAATGGTCAAAATGGTCTGAATTTTGCATATGTCAAAAATTAATATGTTTACAAAACATGGATGAATGAGTACCTTATTAAATCAAAATCCACGTAGCTTTAGCAGGAAGTAAATTAATGAAACCTCAAATAAACTGTCTTTTTATAGTTCTGATATTTAGTTACGCTCAATACGGAATCCTCTTTCAATAAAATTTTAATCTACTTAATCTGTGAGGAAAATGTCACATTCTTATGTTTAGTAATGGAAAGCAGAGTGGAAACGAGTGAAATAAAGAAGGAATGATTGAAACAAGGATGTCAACACTCTAAATTGCATGAAAATATAAAAATCATGCAAATCAAAAATGACTGAACTTTAAAGGCAGAATCAGATCCATTGGGGGTGACAAAATTACAAGCAATTTGCATAATTGACCTACCAATCTATTCCTTACAATATCAAATACAATATCTCCCAAAAGATTAACAATATGTTATAAATAGGTGAAGTTATTAATGATTCAAAGTGCAAAAATGGGTGAAAAATGTTTAAACTCTCCCAAATAATAAGAATGGTAACCATTCTTATAGAGAAATAATACATTATTGTAAAAATCTTTTATTTTCCTTGAATAAAGTATGCACTTTTGTGATTTTTAGAATATAGACATGACAAGGAATGACATGAGCCAAAAATATTCTAAGATTGAAACAATTTTTCGTTTAGCCTGCTCGCTATCTCTGATTCTCTCTTTAACTATTAAACAAGGCATTAACATGACAAAATTGATGTATATTTGAAAGGATTACTACCAACATTTTAGTCTTTCCTGCCACTTTAACAAAGAAACATATTACCAAGTGATACAGTAATAATATAATACCTGTGTAAGTGGAACACCTTTGTAAGTGGAACACTATTCAGAGGCCCAAGACCAATTGACTAAATGTTAAATGAAACAAGTGGAACACCGCCCAAGTGGAACACAGCCCAAGTGGAACACCTTTAAGAGGTACCAAAAGTGTTCCACTTAGACAGCCATGGGCGTAGCGCCCGGTACGCTGGGTACGCGAAGGTGTACCAGATGGTTGCAAATTCGCTCTAAATACAACCATATTTCAAAATTTTCCAGACCCCCCTTAATGCTCGTTTTTTGATTCACTCAACTCTTGTTCCTGTGGTGGTGGCGTACTACTTAGAAAAATAGTGCTACGCCCATGACAGCTGATACTGTAGGTGTTATCTAATAAAGCAGCATATTTCAAAGTGATAATTCTTAGCCACAGCTAAAATCTAATAACTCATTCCCTGAACAAATAGCTTAATCCTTCTATTACAAACTGTAAAGTTGCTCATTTTGCTGTCATAAAATTTTACCATATTAGGACATAATTAAAATTGTAAATAACAAATTAATAACCTTAATTAATCACAAACTCTCCCATCATTTACGATCGGTGATTTGGCCAAATTTTTTTTCTCAATTGGAACTTTTTGATGAAAGATATAAAAATTCTTCTGGGTATTAACTCACTAGTTTTACAGTTAATGACTCGGAGATCATTTTGTTTCATGAAAAAGAATACAATGTGATTTACTGGTTTAAATTTCTTTGTCTAGATGTCCAACTCAAATTTAATATCAAGGAGGTCAACTTGATATTGGATGATAGCAATAAAGTGAAAGTTAACAACCAACAACTTGATAAATGGCATATTTATAAATAAGATAATTGGCATGCGTTTCTAATTTATCAATATCTCTATCTTTTACTGAGAAAGGTTCCTCAATTTTTATCTAATTGGACGAATTTTATTTCAATTATTTATTAGTAAACAGTATTTGACAGTTTAGTTGTAGTTTATTATTCTCTTCAATAATGTTGCATCGAGATTTTTTTTAATAAAGTTATTACAAATCATAAAAAAAACATAAAATGATATAAAATACATGCAAGACAATTTATAATTATAACATTTTACTTACATCAAATTTGCTTAGCTAGCCTTTGGCAATATCATGGACTTCTATAAAAATCGCCAACAATTGCATCTTTTATGTTTTCAGTATTTTTAAACCCTCGTGTAATTCAAGGGGTGATCAATAAATTTTGTCAGTGACTATCTCAGTATATATTTCAAGTCATGTTCTCAAACCTAGTGGAAATATAACACACATGTTTCTGATTATATCCACATTGTCTCAGATATGGTAATTTAGTCATGTATCTTCTGGGTTGATTTAGAGAGGTTTCAGTTTTTTGGAATACGCAAACCTGCACTTGGACAAGTTAGGTATAGCACTGGGGAGGAACTCAAATCACAACAAAATATTCGGCAAGTAGGTAGTATGTGAGTTCCAGTTTCAAAATATGATTACAACTTAGACATTAATTCTGCCATTGCTTGGATATTCACAAATCAGTTCCCTCGATTAGGAAAATTTTTCCAATGAAATGTACTTTCCTGGTTTCTTTGAGAAACCTTCCTCCCTAGTGGTGTTTCGGTCATTTAAAAGTTAAAGTTGCAGTGTAAGTTTGACTGAAAACGTATACAGAAAACTCTCTATTGTGGTTGAGAAATGCCTTGATGTATGACTATATGGTTTTCCTTTGGATCAGTTCAGCCCCTCTTATAGTTTTTTTTTCTTTTTTATTCCTGTTAATACATTCAAATATACAAAACATAGACTGCCAAAGTTAAAAACATTGGTGGCAGTTTTTTTATACAAAAAAAACATACAATAATAATACAATAAACAAGAAGCTAGGTTGGGTTTTCTATAAGGGGTGTTTAGGCATAGGTAGAACGTAAAATAATTAATTGCAGTTTTTTATATAGGTGGCAGTAATCTCTTAGAGTGTTTTTACTCCTTCCTGATTTCAATGAGTTGTACATGTACATCATTTTGAAATAATATTACCATTAAATGTCATCGTTTCTTTCTAATTCTAATCTATTGCAATTGACAATGAATATATACATTAGCAGGTTTGATAAGACAGTTTGATTAGACGAGGCATTAATATGCAAAATATCACTACCTGTCATTTGTTACAGACAATGAACACCGAACACTGATTGCCAAGCACCAAACCCCAAATGCCAACCATTGAACACAATCCACAAAAAAGTTGGAGACCAAAACAATGTGTCATAACTTCTAATGATGACATAAAAAAATCAACTTTTCTATTACCTTTTTTAGAAAAACAAGCAGACATCTGTGATATTCCGTCCAATCACAACATCAACAACAACAAAGATCTTGTGACCAAGATGATCTCCCTACAAGAAACGATGTCCTTCTTGACAAACACCGTAAACAAATCCTTAGAACGCCTACAGAATACAATTATTGAAACCAATGCAGTATTACATGACCGCATCAACGCAATTGAGGACATACAAGCCGAAGCTTTATCAATCGTAAAATCAATTAAAAAAGAAACAGCAAAAGAAGATGATGATAACAAGGAAGTTGAGGAAAGTAACAAGGTTGACGATGAAATTGAATATGACACAGAATGCCCAGAAGAGTATGATAATGTTATAATTGATATTGATATTAAATGGAACATATCTAAACGAGCAATATTGACGCTCCCCAATGGATTACGTTTGGCAAAGTCGACATTACCCGGCGCAGGTCTAGGTGTGTTTACTGATCAATTGATTCCTGTTGACACATATATGGGCCCATATGAGGGGGAAATCATCTATAATGAAGATGACTTGTTTAACGATGGGGAGTATGCATTTGCTGTAAGTAAAAAGATCATTGTGGTTACATTTGCTGTACTTCTACTTAAATTGGCGCCCATTTTATTGGCGGATCCGCCAAATTAAATAGCCAGCAAATTCTCGTAACACTTGTCAGTTTTTCTAAAATTACGGTACAACATGTACAACCAAAATCACTCCTGCCATATATTTATCTATCAAGTCCTCTATTATGTGGAAAAATTCTAAAATCTTAACAACAAGGACATTTAACTAATTAAAAATCAGATACATTTAAATTGTATCTGTAACATTACACCTTTTTGAGATAAATCTCTTGATCAAACTGTTAATTTCATTAAGGCTATTCAAAATTAAATATATGTTTAATATCATCCCCCTCCATGATCTAAGTGATTCGTCAGAAAAACTGTAGTGCCCAAATATGTACAGTAAAACCTGTCTAAGTGGAACAGCTTTGGTACAGCTAAAAAGTGTTCCACTTGGGAGGTGTTCCTCTAAAAAAAATTAATAAACATTAGTCAGTTAGTCATGGGACTCTGAAGTGTTCCACTAATAGAGGAATTCCACTTCTAGAAGTGTTCCACTTAACAGGTTTCATTGTACTTGTAATGATTCCAAATGACAATAGAAGCATAAAATTGTGACCTAAGATCATATCTATTTCAGCTTCAGTTTTGTGAATCCAAAAAGTTTGATAGCTATACATACATGTGTTATTTTATTTTAACAGATGATATTATGAAAAAGAAATACAATAAATAAAGGTTTTGTTTTTGAATTTCTTTTTCATCTCCCATCCTCCCAGATTTGGGCCCTTTAATGGGATGTTAAACCTATTATTAATTTTGGATGACATTCCCAAATTGAAGAGCTTACAAATTTATAATTTTAACATGAGGTTCAATGGGCAATACACAAGATGCAGTATATCAAGCAATTAAAAAATTAGAATAAACTCAGTTATCTACAATTGTTTTCTTGTAGATAACAGACAAAAATAGCGATCTGATATTTTATCGGGATGGAGCACCATTGGAAAGATCTAATTGGTTGCGATATGTCAATTCAGCCTCTTTGATGATTGAACAGAATGTGGAGGCATGTGGATGCTATGATAATGTAGGTGTCTTACACTAGTAATCATCCATATGAAGATACACATCGAGACAAGCCAAGTAATAAAATTGTATTCATGGCATTTTAGCGCTAATTGAATACTCTTTTTAGTAAATATTCGTACTAAATGAGCACATATGACATGCGTACTAATTTATTGCATTTTAGTACTAAATGAAATTCGAATATGATGAGTGATAAAATAGCGCTGATTTCAATGATATTTTATAAGTCAATGAGCACCCATACACATGCCAAGTACTCAGTTAGTACAAAATTAGTACTAACTTTAACATAGCAGTATTAATCTCACATTGAAAAGTGAACACATCTACAGATTACATCTACAGCAACATTCAGATAAGACATGTTTAACTATAAACTAGTAAATCTTTTTATCTTAAAATTTTATCGGTAATTGCAATCTCAATTATTGGATAGCAGAATCTGAAGGAGGTTTTGAAGATTTATATGCAAAAAATGTCCAAAATTAGTTATAGATACAGTAAACCCTGTGTATTTTGAACATTTTTTGCTGAGAGAAAAACGTGTTGGTAGGTGTTCACTACAGAGAGGGCAATTTATACAGGAGTCAGTAGTACAATAACGTCATTTCTAAGGGCCATATAGTGAAATATTGGACCGAGGGCCGAAGGCCCAAGGTCCGATATTTCACTATATTGCTCGCAGAAATGATGTTATTAGTATTATTACCACCGTTAACGACCAGGGCTGAAATAGCAAGAAAATCTTACGTACTGAACGATATCTAATTTCCCGGGGAAAATTTGCCGGTCCAGAATATATTCTAGACCGGTCCATATGGACCACCACTATGACGGCACACATTTCTCGATATAGTAAAATGAACGCCTTCTAAACTAGCACTAAAACCCCTAGAACTGGCCCGGCAAGGTGGTAATAATAGAGTTTATGCAGAGAATGGGTGTCCACTAGAAACAGGTGTTCACTAGAGAGTGAGAGATGCTCACCAAGGCAGGTTTTACTGTAGTTAACATCTACCTTTTTCAACTTTCTTGCCAAAAGATCGACCTTCAAATTCAATTCATTAGTACTATCATGATATTAAACCAATGTTAAACAATATCAACTTTAAATTTGAATATATTGATGTTCTTTGTGATGAAAAGCAGAAACGAATAAATCTTATAAATGGGCAAACATTCCGATTTGCTTATTAAACTGAAGAAGAATGTAACCGATACAATAGATAATATACTTAGACATAAAAAAGGATCAAAATATTTGTAATAAATGTCTTCTTCAAGCCTGGTTGGTTTTGAGTCTAATCCATACATAAATCTCTCAAATTAAATATAATAAATTCCAAAACAAACTTTTGTGCAAATATATGCCTCCAGCACACATTTATATCAAGAATACTGCTCCAAGTTAAGTACCTTAAAGCGAGTCAAGCCGTTTGAATCAATATTTTTCAGCCAGGAATTTTCCAGAATAGAAACATATTGTCCATAATAAATGGTAGGATTACTTTAAGTTCAAAATACCTATAGACATTGCGATCTGGATATACAATACAATAGATACAGTGATCTGAACTGTTCAATTGATATTTACCTTGAAATAATAGAGAAACACCTCTCACTCAAGGAGTTCATTGAAATGTCAATGAGAAGTATGTGAGAAAGTATATGTACTTATGATGAGTTTTGTTGTCATAGAATAAATGCCATAATATAAACTTTGCAGATATATTACCCTGTCATAATATATGTTTGCAGATATATTACCATGTCATAATATATGTTTGCAGATATATTACCATGTCATAATATATCCTTGTTGATATATTACCATGTCATAATATAATATTTGCAGATATATTACCATGTCATAATATATGTTTGCAGGTATATTACCATGTCATAATATATGTTTGCAGGTATATTACCATGTCATAATATATGTTTGCAGATATATTACCATGCCATAATATATGTTTGCAGGTATATTACCATGTCATAATATGTGTTTGCAGGTATATTACCATGTCATAATATATGTTTGCAGATATATTACCATGTCCTAATATATGCTTGAAGATATATTACCATGTCATATTAATATATGTTTGCAGATATATTACCATGTCATAATATATGTTTGCAGATGTATTACCATGTCATAATATATGTTTGCAGGTATATTACCATGTCATTATATATGTTTGCAGGTATATTACCATGTCATAATATATGTTTGCAGATATATTACCATGTCATAATATGTGTTTGCAGATATATTACCATGTCATAATATATGCTTGCAGGTATATTACCATGTCATAATATATGTTTGCAGATATATTACCATGTCATAATATATGTTTGCAGATATATTACCATGCCATAATATATGTTTGCAGGTATATTACCATGTCATAATATATGTTTGTAGATATATTACCATGTCATAATATATGTTTGCAGATATATTACCATGCCATAATATATGTTTGCAGGTATATTACCATGTCATAATATATCCTTGTTGATATATTACCATGTCATAATATATGTTTGTAGATATATTACCATCTCATAATATATGTTTGCAGATATATTACCATGTCATAATATATGTTTGCAGATATGTTACCCTGTCATAATATATGTTTGCAGATGTATTACCATGTCATAATATGTTTGCAGGTATATTACCATGTCATAATATATGTTTGCAGATATATAACCATGTCATAATGTATGTTTGCAGATATATTAGCATGTTATAATATATGTTTGCAGGTATATTACCATGCCATAATATGTGTTTGCAGATATATTACCATGTCATAATATATGTTTGCAGATATATTACCATGTCATAATATAATATTTGCAGATATATTACCATGTCATAATATATGTTTGCAGATATATTACCATGTCATTATATATGTTTGCAGATATATTACCATGTCATAATATATGTTTGCAGATATATATCCATGTCATTATATATGTTTGCAGATATATTACCATGTCATAATATATGTTTGCAGATATATTACCATGTCCTAATATATGCTTGAAGATATATTACCATGTCATTATATATGTTTGCAGATATATTACCATGTCATAATATATGCTTGCAGATATATTACCATGTCCTAATATATGCTTGAAGATATATTACCATGTCATTATATATGTTTGCAGATATATTACCATGTCATAATATATGTTTGCAGATATATTACCATGTCCTAATATATGTTTGCAGGTATATTACCATGTCATAATATATGTTTGCAGATATACTACCATGTCATAATATATGCTTGCAGATATATTACCATGTCCTAATATATGCTTGTAGATATATTACCATGTCATAATATATGTTTGCAGATATATTACCATGTCATAATATATGCTTGCAGATATATTACCATGTCATAATATATGTTTGCAGATATATTACCATGTCATATTAATATATGTTTGCAGATATATTACCATGTCATAATATATGTTTGCAGATATACTACCATGTCATCATATATGTTTGCAGGTATATTACCATGTCATAATATATGTTTGCAGATATTTTACCATGTCATAATATATGTTTGCAGATATATTACCATGTCATAATATATGTTTGCAGATATACTACCATGTCATAATATATGTTTGCAGGTATATTACCATGTCATAATATATGTTTGCAGATATACTACCATGTCATAATATATGTTTGCAGATATATTACCATGTCATCATATATGTTTGCAGATATATTACCATGTCATCATATATGTTTGCAGATATATTACCATGTCATTATATATGTTTGCAGATATATTACCATGTCATAATATATGTTTGCAGATATATTACCATGTCATAATATATGTTTGCAGATATATTACCATGCCATAATATATGTTTGCAGATATATTACCATGTCATAATATATGTTTGCAGATATACTACCATGTCATAATATATGCTTGCAGATATATTACCATGTCCTAATATACGAGTATTTGTAGATATATTACCATGTCATCATATATGTTTGCAGATATATTACCATGTCATAATATATGCTTGCATGTATATTACCATGTCATAATATATGTTTGCAGGTATATTACCATGCCAAAATATATGTTTGCAGATATATTACCATTTCATAATATATGCTTGTAGATATATTACCATGTCCTAATATATGCTTGTAGATATATTACCATGTCATTATATATGTTTGCAGATATATTACCATGTCATCATATATGTTTGCAGATATATTACCATGTCATAATATATGTTTGCAGA